GTGGTTTCTAAAAGCATAAGGTTTGTTTAGGCGTTGCCGTTAAATCAAAGTTTCTGTATAAAATGTGTTTGGAGATTTTTAGATAACTCGTTAGGATATAGGTATATGGTTGAGCAAGTACGTTCATATAACGGGACTGAATTTAGAAATAAATCTTTTAAGGGGGTATGCAGACAGGTTTCCTTTACCGCTCCACGTACACCATCACACAACCCACTGACAGAGCAAATTAATTTGGACCAAAGTGAAGATACTGCATGCCTTTCCCAGTAAAAGGTGGAACCGAGGTGGTCTCCTAGAGCGGTATAAGCAATTGATTTTATTGAAGAAAAGCCTTAGTTTCTTTTAAGACGGTGAAACGAGGCAAGTTCCTGAGAATGAAGAAATGCGAGATATTTTCCAAGGTATGGGCGGCAAGTTTATTTCCCAAGAATCGCCGAAGGGGCTCTTAAGTTAGAAAAGTGGAAATATTAAATAAAAGATGAACTTGAAGCCTAGGATAAGGCAGGTATATGAAAAGTAACAAGTTTGCCAAGAGGACATTTAGTGGAAACAACCTACATGGAACTTTTACGATATGAGCAATAGATTAAAAGCCCGACTGCGTGTGAGGATTTACTCAGAAAAGATGATTTGATTACAATGAAATACGTCTCCCGTAATATCAAAAGAAGCAGCAAAATTGGTCGAAGTATGGGCTCTGCAAGAAGTATTTAGTGTCTAGAATTTGATGTTAGAAATGCTTATGTGCAACCCTTTACAAAAAATTACCCGAAGCATTTGGGTTATTTTACCCTAACGTGGATAGGAATAAATGCCTACAACTTGTTTAAGGATTGTATAGCATTAAACAAGCATAAGTTCTAAGATTTAGCCACGTTATTTCTAAACTTAAAGGAACTGATTTTAGCCAGTTAAGAGTTGAGCCAAGCCATTTTATATATAGTTCAAGTGACGTTGTCAACGTAGTTGCTTTTTACTTGGATAATTTCCAGTTATACTAATAACCCACAAATGAGTCGAGAACTATTAAAGGCTGTTAGCAGTGAAATTAAAAAAGTTCCTAACTACGTATTTTTATTATAATAATTAGATATGGAGAACAACACTGTGGATATTTCTAAAAAAAAATTATTTATAGGTTACTCACCAACTATGGCGTGAAAGAGATTAAAACTGTGAAATTACCTTGTGAATAGTGAAAAACTACTCACCTCTGAAGGGATATATAAGATTTGTCTTTATCAAGAGCTTATAGGAACTTTGCAGTATCTCGCGAATAGGTCAAGACCTGATATCCAGTTAGCGGTTAACAACTGCCTCAACACCTCAAAGCTCATACAACCCAACACGAGGTATCGCAAAAATTTTGTTACGTTAACTAAAAGGGACTAAAGGGTATGCCATTAAAGCCACCAAGCAAGAAAGTTTAATTTCCATATATTGTGGCGCTAGTTATGCATCTGAGCCCTACAGAAAATCCAGGAGTGCTACTTTAATTATAGTAAATGAATGTCTTTTGTATGGAAGACTAGAAAAAAGTCCATAAAAGTCCTTTTCTCTAGCAATAGCTGAGACCCATAAAGTGGGTAAAAAGGAGGGATGCTGTAATAAAGGAACTTGGATGTTTAGTTGATAATCCTATTAATGTTTTGACCGATAACCAACCCTCGATACGTATAGAACATAGTAGAAATGGAACAAAATTGTCAAGGCATATAGACATTAAAAATCTCGCTTTGTTAAAGACGAAATGGAGAGAAAAAAGTGTTTTTTATAGTATTGTCTTCAAATGAAATGCTAGCTGATTTTCTTACAGTGTGTAGCTAGCCCTCAATTTACTAATCTGCTCTTTAGGATAGCTCATAATTGTGTGATTCAGAGATGTATTAAAATGAATCACACAGTTTAAATATTTGTATCTTTGCTTGTTCATTTTCCTTATAACCTGATGTAATCTACATGTACATGTATATAAACCCTTATTTTAGAATGAATTTATAACTTGCTTTCCAGTTGTTGGCCAGTTGTTCCTTGTTCCACTTAGTGAACGTCGTTAGTTCGGTTTTATAGAGTCTGCATACCATCATCGGTTAGGTCAAACTATTATATTATTAACAGAAACATTAACTAATGTATTTTTGAAAGAACAAAAATTTCGTATTTTACATACTAATTCTCTACAATTTTTTAGCTATTGCAAACTTTCTGCAGCTACACCTTGGCTTGCAGTATTATTAGTATAAAACTAGTTAAAAGAATATAAATTAAAGAGTAGTACCGACGTAAACTATAAAAAATGCTTGAAGAACGTCTCATAACAAAAAGCTTTTTTTTACGAACTGAAGAAATATCCGCAGTACCACGAAGCCTACTCAAACATCTTGTGACAGATTTTTACTAATAAAAGTTAAGTACACTTTTTACAACAGTCAATTAAAAGTTTATTACCTACTTTACTCGACTTAACATGTTTGATATCATTTTATACGAAATCTCAAAACAATATTTAAAATAAACTAGTTACTTTGTTTATACCAAGAAAGACGCAACAGCTTTTAACATATTTTGGGCGTCTTCCGCTAAAACAAAAATGATAGTGAAATAAAATTTCTAAATAAGTCAAGACCTTAAAAGCTAAGGTATGATGTAAAATTCTTATTAAGCTGCTTCTTATGGTCTAAATTTGTAGTTTAAAAAATTGTTAAATTTAAAGTTGTGCACTCATGGAGTAGAGTTCATGTACAAAAGCATAAAATTTATTCAAAACTATACAGTACACTGAAGTAAAAATTATATGAGGCCACCTGGAGACTCAAAATGCAAAATTTTTGTTTAAAAATGCGAATTCATCGCCAATAGACTTTCATTTTTTTATGTGAGAAAGCTAATTTTAATGAAGGTTTCTTTCAAGAAATAACTTTTTTTCACGATTATTTCTCTCAGGCTGACTCGTTTTTTTAATTAAACGTCTTTTCCTTCTATGAAGTATACTTTTTAGAAAATGTTATATCCTTATACATTATTCATCCGCATTCCCCCCAACCTTCTTTGGTAAAACTAAACCTGACATATCTTAAAGTATTGCCTCTTTCGTAAAACTAAGCTTGTACCCTTTGAAACTATACAAGCTTTCAGATAACGTATCCATGTCTACAGTCTTATACTCCGTTAATTTCTCACAACATAAAAAGATTCAAAATGTCACTAAAGTCTTGCAAAATATATATAAATCACTAAATATAAGTTATTAGTGTGGTAGAAGATGTATATTTGTTTAACCGATGATAAGTAATATTGGCTAGAAAAATATAAAAGCGAGCTATATATTAATTTTATCTCTTTTCAATCAATTCTAATATATTTACAATATCAAATAATTTAAATTATAGCTACATAGTTATAATATTATCCAAAAACTTCGCAAATGATAATTTTTTTCAATAGGCTTGCCAATTTTTTTGCGTAGCATACCAGAACTAAAAAAAAACTAATAAATATTTTGCGGACCAATAAAACTGACTTCAAGCTTCCTTAAAATTACACTGCTTTATATACAGGCTTATTCGGGAGAATTTCATCCTTAAGGTAGTAGCATTTCGATGAAAAAAAAGTGATATACATGCGAACAATAAAAAATTAAAAATTTAGTAAACTATAAAAATTAAAAAAATATTAACCGATTATAAAAGGATGGCCTTTAGAGGTTAGTGTTTTCAGCTCTACTCTAATTAGCGAAGCTTATCTGAAATAGATTAACTATATAGTAACTTCAGTATCTTGGAAGCGTTTTATTTATAATTCAGCTTTTGTACGGAAAAAGAAAGTTTTTTTAAAAAGAAATTTTTTTTACCTGCAGCATTAGTTTAATTTATCGTTACAATTTCATTGGGTCCCCTAAAATGTAATAAGCCAAGATTTCTTTTTATTAAATAGTGTTAACAGATGGTATCCTAAAATATTTATCCGTTAAAATGCATCTTTGGCATACAATTAATTCAATACTACATAATTAAATGTTTGATTCAATTTTATGAAGAATGCAAATAATAAAGCTGGAGCCCTTCGCAATAAAGCTCTTAACGCGTTTAGTGTTAGAGTACTTCGACTTTAAAGTTAATTGCAGTTTACGCTGATTTTAATATCCTTAATTGCTAGGGACCGTTTAGGAAACAAAGTTTTTACTTTTGAAGGATTACTACGGGAATCATTTCCTCTAGTCGGCAGTCAAGAGGTTTACATTAATAGCTACCTAAGTAATTTTATTTACGAACTTTACTGATATTTTTTCATTGTAACAACATTTCACAGTAATCTGTAGGCGAAGCCTATAAAAGCACATACGTCAAGGTCTTCTTTCAAGTAATTTAAATGTGATCATAACTTAATTTATTTAAATTTTTGATATCATATTAAGGGTAAAGCTGGTAGCCCAATTTTCGTCCATTATTATAGTTAGTTCCTTTGTATCATGTTTTTAAACTTTTGCTTTATAAAATTATTTTTGATTAAACTGTCACTGTATGTATAACATCCTAAGCAGTCAAACCTAACATATGTCATATTGAGAATAGTTTTTTTACTAATAATGAACTTTCGCAAATCGTTTTTCTAGGTTGATAACGAAGCGATTAAAAATAAAATGAGGGGTAATAGGTCGTTCAGCAAGTTTATAAAATAAAAAAGGAGGGGCTAGTGGGTAACTATCATGCTAACAATATTAGTCTTTTAAAAATGTATTTTCGTATCCTCCAGTATTTTTGCGAAAGAAGGAAATTACGAGTCAGCAAACAAAAGTTGAAAATGATAGCATTATTTTTAAGTTATAACATGCATCAACTCTACTTGCTTTTCAGCACTTATTACCTCATTCTTAAAGAAAACTTTATGACATATACATTATAAAAAGTTTAATAGAACCAGCTCACAAAAACTTATTTGACTCCACCTGTTTATAAAAAATTTTTTAGGGGCTCCTTCCATTTTCTTAAGTTAAGTTTCTGCTCTTTTTCCGCGCTTAAGCCCTGTTGCTGTCGTGGTCTGTCTCTTTAGCGGGCTCATTTTTATTCTCATGTCTGCACTTTTACGCTTTGTTAATATATAATAGAGATTATTTACCCCTACTGTGTGGTTTACCAATATCGCCGTGCTAAAATTACTTATCCTTTTTTGCAACTTAACTTCGTATATATACTAAGAGTGCTTTTTACCACTTCCGCACGTATTATTTCTTTTAGTAGCTTGTACTTCTTTGAAATAAATATTCTGGAACTCATTCCTTTATGAACTTTGAACAAAGGTATTAGTTATTTCTGTTTTAATTGTTAGGGCTGATAAATTAACGGCGTATTTCAATTTGGCTTAGTAGTTACTCGTAGTCTTTTTACAGTAGACAAGCAATATTCTAAGTTCTGGCAAGTACTAACCTTTACTTGCCTCCTATATAAAGCTTATTATATATATATGATTTGTTCTAATCGTTACATCAGTTTTAACTTTTGTCCTTTTTTTAACGTCGACACTGGTAGCTTCATAGAAGGAGCAGGATGTCTGACAAGGTATTAGTTTATTTTATAAATGCTTTAACAACTTACATTTACACTTGCCTTTAGGTTTCAGTGAAGTATGACTCGGAAAAAGTTTGTTTTTTAAAAGCATTATAACTTGCGATTAAGGGAGTTCCTATATTTTTCCTACTGTTGAAATGTTCTTTTCGCCTTCCTCTATAACCCTAAAAAAAATTGGCTAGTTTACGAGATAGTATTTTATAATTGTTTATAAATTTACAACTTTAGTTTACTTATTGACTCTTAAGATTTGTATGGTGTAAAGTTCTATTTTTTTCTATATAACACGGTCTGAATGTGGCATCACTTATAGTAAACGCGACATAAATATTGGCCTAAAGAAGAATGTCACACCTCACTCCACTAACACTGTAGTCTTGTAAGCATATTAAAACTAATAAGACTAAACACTGTGTCACTTTTTCACTCAGAGAGTCGCAAGAACTAAATTCTGAGAAAGTCGCTGTGGAAATGAAAAAGGCGCAAAAGCTAGCCAAAAATAGGATGGCTGCGAAGGTATGCCGCGAGAAAAAAAAGGTTACTTTGACGTCTCTTAATAACAGCAGCTCTACCGCTTCCCTTGACAAAGTAAGTCGGTTAGGAGTACGTGAAGTGTCTTGAGGAGCGTGTGAAATTACTGGAGGACCAGAATGCCTTGTTATTGCAGGAATTGAGAAAATTAAAAAGTTTATTGGGGACAGATGAAAAGTAGACTGAAATAAATTTGCTCTTAATTTCCTTACTAGTTGCTTGGTGGGGTCTATGCGGGCTCAATAAATCTTATTTTCTCTCTATTTACTTAACGTTGCTTTTTGCCAAGTTTTAGTAGAAAGCTACACTTTCGCCTACTTTCTTGTTCTGCGTATACTTTCAGTATATATGGAAAACTTCTTTGGGTTTCACTTTGAGGTTCGCAATAAAACACGGTAGTAGCAAGTTATAAATAAAAACTGTATGGAAAATATACAAGGAAGTATTCGCTTACGGAGTCTTAAGGCGTTAAAACCCAGTTGTTATATAAGCACCGTAACATGTGTCTCTGCTTGTTGCCAGGTATATTGGAAAACTACTAATCCTAAAGAATATTAAACGATTTATAAATGATCAAGCAGTTAGTGTCTAAGTTTAAAAGCCTTGGGCACAAAAAAACTCCTAAGCCGAAAAGTGATAGGCACAGTACCCACAATTTTTTTTTTGTTTTGTATATAACTATTATTGTTTTTATATAGTTCTTTTTTAAGCTATTTACTTACTGCATCTATTCTTTATTAATTGAGGCAAATATATTTTATTTATTTTTTAATAAGCACTTTTTTCAACTAGTGACCTACAAAAGCTGATAACTTGCAAATGTTATTAATAAACTCTCTTGGGGGTAAAAAAAGAAAAGACAAAGATAAATTTTTAAAAAGTAAAAACACTTTAAAAATAAACCCAAAGGACGAAGGGCCACTCGGAGCTGCATCTAAACATCCTTTCCCCACTCTTAAAATTTTTTAAAAACCTTAATTTACAAAGATAAAGTTATTACTTAGCGGAAAGAGGCGATAAAGTCGCCACTAAAACTAAAATTATACAAAGTGCTATTAAACTGAAGAATAATAGCAAAATTAGTAATAATAACCACAATAACCGCAAATATAGACTTGATAGTAATAACCTTAACGGTAGTAACTGCCCTATCAAATAAAGCGAAATGCTTAACGACAACAAAAATCTTAACAATCCAATCAATCACGACGCAACTTAGCTTTCCCCAAGAGTTTCATGAAACGTAGACTTAGCCTATGAAAGGTTGAAGAAAGATAGTGACCTCATTCGTTGCAGCAACACCTTTACTACTTCGTAAGGCGATTATGGATCTAAGTAGAACGCAGAAGTGACGACCACACTTTACTCATTATAGTACTGTCTTACGACAGGCGTGGTTTACAAACTGTAATTAACGCTTAATCTACTTCCCTCTATTTGTTGAGGGCGAGGAAGTCCCCATCCCACGACTTCCTTAACGATTCATTGCACCGTCAAGGAGAAAGGATGGGTGTGCTCTCATCACAGCTAAACAGTTTATTACATGGAGTAGTTAAGTTTTAATACTATTATTATAATCAAAAAATATATATTATGTTAAATAAAATTTCTTTGCTCTATTAGAGGGGAAATTTAGTTGATAAATTTATTTTATAGGCTTATTAATACATATTTTTATTAACATAACGGTTTTGAAACTTAACTATTCTACTACATGTAATATTGCTATTACTTTGATATTACTTTTTTATTAATATATGCTAATTAGCTGTATTGATAAAGCGCATCCGTTCTTTTCGTTGATGGCGTAATGAATTGTTAGGGAAGTAGAGGCTTCCGCATTTTTAACAAATAGAAGGAAAGTAGATTAAGTATCAATAGAAACGTGTTTTTGGATGTGGTCTGTGCACCTTTACATCTCCCTACGGATTGCTATATATAATCACTTATTTACACCTTTATTTCTTTTTTTTTGCTTAACGCCTACTTAACTTATTAGTATATATACCCGCACCTACATATATATATCTTTTAAATTAATACTTTTTATTATTATTTTTATTACGGTACTTTATCCCTGAACAGTTTTAAAGGGTTCTTCTTCCTCAAATACTGAACAACGAGATCTATTCGACAACTTGTCCGTTGCTAAGGCTGCTTTGAAAAATGAATTAGAATTTTAAAAGGCAAAACTTCATTTAATGGAAAATAAATTTTTTTTGAAAAACCGCTAAAAAGGCGCAATTTTTTTTTTGAAGCTAAAGTAATTACAGATACTAATTCTTTTTCTGTGCTACATCTTCCGGACAAACTTTGGTCAATAAAATAGTATTTTTGGAATCAGTGAAATACCTGAAACGCCCTCAAGTTGTGGTAATAGTATTCATAATAATAAATTCATTAATAGAAGTAAAAATCGTAGTAGCAAACTCTTAAAAATAATAACAGTAGTCAGCATAGTAACCATGATAATACTAATAGTAATAAAAATAATTATAAGAAAATTAGTAGTGATAGTGGTAATAGTGAGATATAAACTTAAACTTACCTTCATAACCCCAACCGCCAGTACAACAATAGGATAGCCTGGAAGAGACACGATCTCTGAAGAAACAGCCAAAATACGTACAGCCTCGGAAGAACCGCCGAGGCGTAAAGTAAAAATCCCCCCTATCATTCTCGTTGCCAAGAACATGTGGCCTACGTTAGTGGAATCCCTGAACGCTCAGGGGGCAAAGGCCTCACTCCTTGTTGCAGTTAACTGCCGATGAGCGCTTTTGGTAACACTACTGCTACCAGTTACTCGAGTACGAACCCGGCAAGATCGTTCTTCGAGTTCTCTACACGGATCTACCTTGACATGGAAACGGCGCTATATGCTCAGGATCCCACCCCTCCGCATGGCACGACTTTCGATAATCCGCCCAATTGGGTTCTTGTATACTTTTGCCCTAAGAGGGAAGGACCTGCAGCCCACACATTGCAATCATCATGTCATTAATAAACCAGCTTTGAACCACTTCGTAAGAGTGATCGCATGTGGCAGTGTCATCGCAGTAGCGCTTCGGCCACAGTGTACAGAATCACGCCGTCACTCACGTTGCGTCAAGTGTAGAACCATATAACGATTCATTGTGAGAAATCCCGGGAGTTGCCCGCCTAATGCGCTAACTGTCTCGAGGCTCACACTGCGAATTACTGAGAGTGTTTAAGATATCCCGAAAAATCGTTTCTCCGCCCTCACACGTCAACGATCCACGGAAACGCAAACAGTAACGCTGACGATCTTATTTCCAGCCATGATGGGACAAAGGCCTCATGCACCGTAATCCGCTTTACAACAAAGATCTATCGCTTCGAATTTCATTGGGGAGATGCTGGCACCACTCGCAACTGCTCTTAAAACATTTCTTCGAGCGATTAGCAACCTGACGACAACAAGTGTTGCTAGGCCCGTCCGTTATGCCACCTGAAACTTTTGCAGTGGAATACCAACGGTGTGCACTGCAAAAAGGACGAAATGCTGCATCTGTTACCGAGTGAAGAGGTGTATGTCGCGTTGTTAAGCTAGACACACTTGAAAGCGGGCGATCGACTAGTACTCTGCCAACTTCGTAACGTACCGCATTGGCCATTTTGACAGACGCGACGGTGGAGTAGCTGCTCTGGTGCGGCGAAATCTACCGCACCTCTATTGTACCCATAAACCTAATGGGCGTGGAGACCATGGGGACCCGTCTCAACTTGGTTGACATGAGACAGAGTACCATGATACCCCTCTATAAACCCCCCGACATGGCGCTGCTTACGAGTGATCTGGATTAGCTGCTACTACGCCACTAGCCCAGCGTTCTTTGTGGCGGATTTAACAGCAAACATGTTGCTTGGGACAGTCGAGTTAAAAATTCGAAGGGGAAAATACTTGAGAAATATGCGGAACAAAAAAAAAATTCGCGTGCTGGCACTTCAACGATTTACGCAAATGGCAAAAACGGCATATGGCAACCTTTAAAGACATACACCAGTCGGTATCAATCGCAGAGCTGCATGAGCTTTCATCGAATCACCTGCTCGTTTTAATGGAGCTAGGCGAAGGCAAGACTACAGCGAAAACTCTTGAAAGGGTCATTCACGGACTGGACAAAATTTACAGCTGCGGTTGAAGCATCGTTTCCCCTCGACCCATCTCTCCCTTCGACTCCTCCTTTATTAGAAGAGGCAGTTGACAATCTTGAGGGCGCAACGACTGCTGCCCTTGTTGTGGTGAAGTCGCGAATTGCCCCGACCGTCAATTAGATTTCGTTAACGTTGCCGATTTATACACCTGACCGCTGTTACACAAAACCCCGGCGACAAACTGATTCTAAACCGTCTTCACCGACACATTAAAAAGAAGCCGACTTTTACAATAGTCGCTGGGAGGCGAAACTGCAGGCTGTTTCTGTAGCGGTCGAGGAAGGACAGTCATCTCTTTGGCGCTCCTATTAACGTAGTAAAAACTGTTGCCATACACCACCTCCGCCACTTAATAAAGGCGTGATACCTGTGGAAAGCGACGAAGACAAGGTGTCACCCTTTGCCGACCATTTAGTTGCTCATTGCGTGTCACCAACTTGGGTATTCTTTACGGAAGAAGGCAAGCCACCCCCCGATCATTGTGGACGGACATATTAAACCGAGTTCACCTAATGAAATCACTAATATAGTTTCTGCACTTTCACGACGGTATTACTAACGAAATGCTAAAAAAGTTGCTGTCGGTGGCGATTAACCATCTCTCCTGTTTTGCAACTTCTGCAATGTCGCTTGACTCCTTCCCAACGCGACGAAAACGGCTACTGTCGTGATGCCACCCAAGGTTCCTCGGACTTCAGCGATTCCAGCAAATATCGCCCCTTAGCCTTTTTTTAGCGTTGGACAAGCCGTGGAGGCGGTTCTACTACACAGATCTGGAAGAGTTGTGGAAACGCAAAACACTTCCGGAATTTCAATTTGATGTCTGCAGAGGCACTCGACGACGCAACCCAACCTGCGCTTCGTTGATTGGACAATTCGGAAAATTCAATTTTTAATTCACGGGCGGCGTCTTTCTCGATGTTGAAAAGGCCTTTGGCCGCGTATGACACGAGGATCTTTTGCTCAAACTACTCACATTGAAACCCTGTTAGCCCTCTACAACATACTTGCATCTTTTTTCTATGTGGACGCACCTTTCGAATGAGAGTTGGGGCTGCGCTGTCGCCATATCGTCGATTGACGGCTT